GAAGAGGATCTATGACCTTTGGAAGCATCTCTTTCAAATAGCTTAGTCGATATAGGGTCTAACATGTTGTCGATTTAGATTTAACGAGTTTAGACAATTCTTCCTCTCCTATAGCAATGAATGAATGAATCGAATTTTTCCTTAGGGAGACTACAGTGCACTCCCTGATGTGATACTATAGTAAACAGTTGCATAGTTACAAGATTGATAATATCAGGGTGAAAATTATAAGTAAAGAAGTGCATAAAGTCATTACTGCTGTGCTGTTTGGAAGCTTCTGGGCTTGACGCTTTATAGCAATCGAGCTCTCCTTCCATGAAATACGAAATGCCTCGTTTAGTTTTCATCCAGTTTCGCTCCATTTTTCTGGTTGCTCTCTTAAGGGCCTGAGTGTGCTCGTTGTAACATGGCGTTGGCCAATTTTCTTTAATCTTCTTTAAGCGCAACGGAGCAACTGTCTAAAGTGCTGGAAAAGAGAGAGTTAAAAGTTTCTGTCGCAATATCAAGTTCATCTAAACTATCTGGGATGCTGAGATGATGTAACTGATCAGGAAGATTATTTATAAAGCAATCTTTAGTGGCAGAAGTGATAGGTCTAACATATTTGTAACACGGAGTCGGCTTTGCAGCCTTGGCTAAATGAAGTTTACACAATACTAGATAATGATCTGAGATGTCATCGCTCTGCTGCAGAATTTCAATAGCATCGACATTGATTTCAATCCTGAAATAACAAAGTTACAAAGTCTTAACTGTAGTAGTCAGGTACAGAAACTAATAATTGGGCCTAAATGTAAAATAACACTATTTGTTCACTGTAGAAATTAAATATAGGTTCATCTTTGTCAAAGCTGTATTTTGTTTTATTAACATTGACACAGACAACTGCAAGAATATTAGGATTCACTAGACCGAATGCATGGATCGAATATACTGTTAGACATGCAATTAATTTCCTGTTTGTTCACTTAAGACATAATCGAGTGTTTAAAGATGCTGTATGTAAGTTTTTGACTGTACTGAAGCATAAAAATACCATATGTTTGCAGATATTTAGGAAACCTGCTGAGTTCACATACTCGTGTCTCTGAAAAACAATGCTACAGCCAGTTATTTTACTTTGAAATGTGCGTTCCGTGTCGGAATGTCTGTTTTTGTTTTGGTCTGTGTAGGGCTGGACAATAATTCAATATCAATATATATCGCAATATATATTTTTTTTCAATAACGGTGATATGATTTTTAAACGCATTTCCGATATTTCAATATACATTACAGGCATGGGTTACATTTACATGTAACCAGATAATCCATTAGTAATCGGATTGACGGCTCAAACGGACTGAAAAGCCTTAATTTAAACACCTTAATCGATCCGATTGAGCTCGATCCGAATGAATTTTCGATCGAATAGAGAGCGGTGGTTTATTCCTTTTCTAATACGATCGAGAGTACATGTAAACACTTAATCGGATTGAAAACCGAAACTGAAAGGACTGCGCATGTGCAATGACGTTGAAATAGCGTATGTATGACGTGCGAACAAGCTGTTTTTCCTGTTGAGTAAAATGTCATATAAATGAGCGTCCCGTCATTCTATAATTCTCATTTCACTCAGCATCTGTGAAGTGGAGCAGGACAACGTCCCACCAGTCCTTGTTTCAGACTCTCATCCACATCTCATCATTTGGGCGCGTGCGTTTTTTTGTTTTTTACAGTATGGCGGGGAGGTGTATTTTGACTGTGTGATAAATATAAGCAGCGGCACAACGGTTCATCATTGTCTCCAAATTATCACCAGAAATTGACAAATATTAAGTCTGCTGTTTAAAACAAATAAAGAATCAATGTAGGAGAATTAGGGGTGTGCGATATCACGGTTTTTGATCGTGGACGATTAAAATGTCTCCACGATCTGCTTTTGAAGAAATATCGTAGTATCCTGCATTTTATGCAGTTCTGGCGCCGAGCTCCGTCTCAACATACAACAAATGTTAACGCAGAGGAACGGGACACTGCAGTTCACAGAAGTTCATTATTTGCATGTGCTTTAAAGCCTTGCTGGTTAAACATGTAATTCACGTGCTGATGCGCTTTTCTGACGTGTACTTTCTGAGCGCATACACCCGAAGCACACGGGCACTAAAAGCCTGTCTAACAGCATCTGTTTACTGGACTACGTTATAAGTTATCTTTCGAGTCTTATTGCGCTAATATTGTCAAATACACACAAGGTTTACATAAACAAAGTTGGTTATGTCTAAAGTGAAAGCAAACAGAAAAAAAATGAGAGAAAATCTGCTTGTCAAATGCGTGTTAGACGCGTCGCGTGCAGCTCTTAAAGCGACAGTAGCCAGTTAGTAAACAAGCTGCCTCTTGTCCTTAAAGAGATAGTTCACCCAAAAATAAAAATTCTGTCATTATTTACTCACTCTAATGTTGTTCCAAACCTGTATTAATTTCTTTCTTCTGTTGAAAATAAAAGTTATTTGGAAGAATGTGGCTAACCAAACAGTTGCTGGTCCCCATTGATTTCCATAGTAGGAAAACATATGGAAGTCACTGGAGTACAGCAACTGTTTGGTAAGCCACATTCTTCCAAATAACTTTTATTTTCAACAGAAGAAAGAAACTTATTCGGGTTTAAAACAACTTGAGAGAGTAAATGATGACAATTAAAATGTTTGGGAGAACTATCCCTTTAATGTTAATAAAACAACAAAACACAAAGAGGAAATCACTCACTGCTCTTGACTGAGAACTTTAGTAGTAGCTTTAATAATAATCAATGTATAATTTATACAGTGAAGTCTATGTTGTGTTTTATTTTCGTATTTGTTCATTTAGCCTAATTACTTTCTTCAATGCTACTGTTAAATACCCCTACTGTAGCTGAAAAAATAAAGCACTGTTTATTTCATTTGTATATTAAGTTGTGTATGCTTAATGTGTATCTTTGTTCCTAATTCTTAATAACAAAGAAAATAATGATAAAGATTTTTATCTTCGCCACTTTGGCCTAAATGTCTGCCATTCTTTTTTCTTTTGTTACCTATAAGGCTTTTTTTTTTAAATAGGGACATTAGTTTGGCTGTAATGCTCAGTCACTTGCAAAATAGTAAAACCAACATGAAAAAGAATCGTGATAAAATCGTTAATCGTGATTTTCCTGAAAAAAATCGTGATATGATATTTTTGCCATATCGCCCACCTCTAAGGAGAATAGTTATTATGTGCAAACAGCGGGAAACTCTATTTGTGCAGTGTGCGCATGTCAAAAAATCAATTCCGATTTGAAGCTTAAAGCTTGTGACCCGATCACTTGTTTAGCGTTCATGTAAACACTACATTCAGATTCATTAATCGGAATGAATTCAGGGTGTCCTCAACACTCAAAATGTCACTCAGCAACATGTTTTTTTCTGCAGCAACTAAGCACTTTTCTTATTCTTTATCCTGGCTGAAGCACTTTTTTCAATCTATAAGAATAATATAATCAACCTATGTTAGCCTATAGTTTAAAGTTAAAGATATTAATATTAATAATTTGAGTCTTATGTTTATTTGACGGTGATTTCACATTTCTTGTTTGCATGAAGGCTAAATACAAATAAAATATTAACAATAATTTTAACAATAATTTATTTGTACCATTTTTATTTCTAAAATATTATACAGTTTTATAGGAGGAGGTTTCAGAGACTTGGCAAATTAATCTTTCAGAAGTTTGTAGGTACAGACATTCATTGTGGGCGTTCTTGGCAGTTTTTATTGAGGCTTTTATACTGTTCATATCGATATCGGAATTATATCGTATCGACCGAAATTAAGAAATATATCGTGATATAAATGTTGGCCATATCGTCCAGCCCTAGGTCTGTGTGATACCGCACGTTGCCAATTTACCCAATAGTATTCCGCCACCACTGGTTGCCAGTTGGCGGAAAACACCGCAAATTGCAGCCATGGAAGCCAACAAACAAACTGGGTCAGAGATCGCAGATTCTACTCAACCTAAAAAGCCTCCACCCATCTAAAAATCTCTATCACCAGGAGCATATTAAAACGTGATATCAACTCATCATACATCAATAAATCAACTCATCAGCTTAGTGTAAATCTCCTCGCATTCCATTGTTAATTGCGCTCGTTCCTGTTGCGTGTCCTCAATCTGGTAACCTGCCTGAGCGTCGAGACTGAGCAGGAGGGGGCGAGGGAAGCAAGTCTATATTTTTAATTTGGACTGCAGTACCCATGTCAACCACTAGCTGCCAATCTCTAGAGGCTCAGATCAGAAGAATTCACATTTCAATTCACATTTATTTATATAGCGCTTTTCACAATACACATTTCAAAGCTGCTTTACAGAAAGTGCATGAGTCCCTATTACAATTTAGTGATCTGTTATCAGAGGTAACTGTCTAAGTTATGTATTTCAGAAATGTATATATACAAAATAGCTAAATTTTTAGTTAGCTAAAAATGTATTAATATAAACAATGTATTAATTTAATGCAGAAACAATGAGCTCATTGTAGTAATGAATACTTGCTTGTTAACAAATGATTATGACAAGAAGACGACAGATTTCTTTTATCAAGTGACGAGAGTGAGGTGGGCTGACTGACAAGACGGTGGCGAAAGATTTGGTTTCAAAGCAAAATGTAAAAGCACCTATTTGGCAATATTTTGAATTTAAATAGGGAACGTGCAAACATTGAGGCTGCCATAAAGGTGGCAGCATGCAGAGGTAACACTTCTAATTTACACCCACACCTTCAAGCGCAACACAAGAATGAGGCTGCCGTGCTTATTCGTTTTGTTAAAAGCTCTGTTTAAATAAAGTTGGTATGTTTTTCCAAATAATCTCCATAAAATCATGCTTTAAGATGAAGTTTTAGTGCTAAAACTCACAAAAATAGTATTTCATTTTACTGAAATGTTTCATTTGTAAATGTTTTCTCATGCACTGCATCACTTCTCTGCATTCCCCTATACAGTGACTCTGGTGAAAGCCTGTTTGTAACACAGTCTATGACCAAAGCAGTCCGAACTGAAAGACGACATTCTAGATCAACTAAGAGACCAGAGTCCATCTCTGATGATACTGGTGATGATGGAGTGGGGGTCACCAGCAGCCTCCCAGAGAATGAAGACACAGAATATGAAGAGGGAAGTGAAGGTCTGCATGCGTTGTGCCCAAAAAGAGGAAAAAGGATTGATTATGTTCCCCCTCAAAAAGCTACTTTTCCCTTTTTGTTGAAATCGCACAGACAGCGGCACCTGCCCATGAAGAAGCACCAGATTCTAGAGGTGGCGTTTATTCATGTTTTTTGTGTATTATATTTGTGTATTATGTCATTTTAAAATTATATTCTGTCTGATAAAATGGTCTCGAGCCGTATTCACAAAACATCTTAAAGGGGTCATCGGATGCAAAATTAACTTTTATAAGGTGTTTGCATATAAATTTGTCTTTGCAGTGTGTGGATTTTTTTTTATTGTATGGTGATGGTGTCCATTGACTAAGCCTAAACGCTCTCAATCAAGCCGTTTGGATTTTCTGAGCAATATGATTCCCACGACCACTGACGGACTGTCCCGTATTAGCATATTCCCGCTCTCAGCCATTTGTATACCAAGGCAGGTTGCCAAGGCAGCACTTTACGTGTCTTGTGTTGACACGCCCCACGGAAGAGAGGGGTGGGGTGAGCAGTTCCTCATCATTTAAAGAGACATGCACCGCAACGGGTCTCTGTGAACAGAGCTGTTTTTGAGGAGGTAAAAATTGTTGGATTACACAACCATTGAGGAATAAAAAAAAAGTAAAAAAAAGAAGATTTTATGTTAACTTAACAGGAAGAACCTAAAGAATCATACCAACTTGTGGAAAATGGGCATCCAAAGACCCCTTTGAGGCTAAAAGTAGCTCCTAACTTTTAAAAATAATGGGCTTGTCAGTCCTAATTTTAGGAGTCCTACATTTTTTTCACAAAGCATTTTAGCACTAAAACAGGTCCTAAATCTGTAAAACATTAGGAGTATTCAAGAGGACTCCTAAGTCACTAAGACCAAATCGCAAACAACCCTAATGGCTGTTGCTGGCAATCGGCCTCCTCGAGCTGATTAGATTGACGGTTTAAACGTGCTCCTCCCAAACTTTATGTATAATTTGTCGCTTGAATTCTGCATCTCGAGATGCAGACATGTAGGAGGCTGACAATTAGCTGAACATATACTACTTTAATTAGTGAGACAGCCTACATTTTAAAACCTTTATTTGAATATTTCAACATTTGTATTTTAAAACCTTTATTTGAATATGGCAACATGATAGGCTACCTCATTCTAAAATATTTCTATGATTAAATCGCTGACATACACACCTCCCCCACCAGCCAATCACCTTTTTCTTTTCTTTTTACATCAGCCAATCACTGTGGTCATAGTTAGTAAGCGTATTGACATCCATAGCAACTAGGTCAACCCCACCCTTTTTCTTAGCTCAAGTCTTCTCTCTGTTCCTTGTTGGTCTCAGCAGATTTGTGAATAGGTTTTAAGAGAACTCTTAACTAATAACTTTTATTGTCATTTAGGAGAACTCTTAGTGGTAAGATAAAATGTTTTGTGAATATGACCCCTGGTCTCTAGAAAAAAATAAATGGAAAAATAAATAAAAAATAGTACTTTACCATCACTGGTTGTTATAATGCTATCACTGTCATTTAAATGTATTTAATTTATGCATGTTTATTTTTTTGTATTTCTTTTTTAGAACTCAGAAATTGGAGGGTTCCTCAAATGCATAAAGAAAATCAAGGAGGGTTATGTAAAAACAGGAAGAGCAATCAGTCCATATATGCTGGAGTCTCGGTAAGTTCTAATTAATAACAAACAAAATATAATTGTAAAATAAATATATTAGTTTTAATGAAAAACATGAACTTTGTTTCAGGCTAAATGATAACTCTGAGGGGGATGACCACAACAGTGATCATGAAGTCACAAAAGTGGTATGTAATTACTGCAGACTTTATAGTACCATGTCCATGATATAGGCGGGTCCATGAGCGCTGAACAGCCGCCGACGGCCTGGGGCTCACACCTCGAAAACGTCTAAACAAATTGCCAAATAGACGCTATGTTTTAGGGGTGTCCCCGACTAAGGATTTTCATAGTCGAATCAGATTCGTCAAGTCCTGCCTATAGTCGACTAATAGTCGAATCATGTGTGTGGTGTTGGGGAGGGGGCGGGGCTTTAAAGGAGTAGTTCACTTTTAAAAAAAACTTTTGCTGATAATTTACTCACCCCCATGTCATCCAAGATGTCCATGTCTTTCTTCAGTCGAAAAGAAATTAAGGTTTTTGATGAAAACATTCCAGGATTTTTCTCCATATAATGCACTTTACTGGGCACCAAACTGTCCAAGGTCCAAAAGACAGTTTCAGTGCAAACTGTTCAAAGGGCTTTAAACGATTCCAGACGATGAATAAGGGTCTTATCAAGCGAAACGATCGCTCATTTAAAAAATAAATAACAAAGTTTAAGTTTTATAAGCTCAAATGCCCGCCTTGCTCTGTTCTGTGTGACCGAGTCACATTGAGCACACTCATATAGCCAAAATGACATAATCCTCGTTTAATAACACATCTGCAAAGAATCGACCGTGAGATTGGTAGTCGAATCAGGCTCCTCCTATCGAAGCATCGAATCTTCGACTAGGGGTCACCCCTACTATGTTTACAAATCGCATATTTGAGGTCTAAATAACTACATTCTCGCCTAAAAAAAAAACTCTTAACTAGGGTTGCACCTGACTAAAGATTTTTCTAAGGCATGATGTATTCTCCTAGGATTTCCTGATACTTCAATGATTCTATCTTGCCTTCCACACGCAAAGCAGCCCCTAGAGCATTACCGAGCCACCACCATGCTTAACTGTAGACGGTGTTCTTTTCAGCATACACTTCATTCTTCTTCCCCCAGACATATAGCACTTTATGGTGATCCATAGGGCCAAAATGTTCCAGTTTTGTTTCATCGCTCCACAGAACAGTGTCCGAAAACCTCTGTGGCTTATTTATGATTTTGAGCAAATTGGACCCAACTTTACTTGTGCTTTTGGGTCAGTAGTGTGGTGTATGTCTTGGGAGTTCTGGCATGCGTTTAGTACGCGCCTTACTGTGCAAGCTGAAACCTCAGTGCTTGTTGCCACCAAGTCTTGCTGCAGGTCTTTTGCACTCACTTGAGGGTTTTTCTGAACCTGCCTTCTCAGAAATCTGGTTGCAGCTGTTGATAGCTTCCTTTTTTCTGCCCCGTCCAGGTAGTGTAACCACTTTAATTTTTATTATTTTAAATCCCAACAGAGATTTTTTCTATGGGGTTCTAGTAAGTCAGGTGACTGTGATGGCCACTGTAGAATCTTCCAGGACTACTTCTGCAACCATGCCTTGAAGTATGCTTGGGATCATTGTCCTGTTGGAAGTGTCCAATGATGCCTAAGTTTGGAGCGTTATCCTATCTGTTTGACAAATTAAGTTGAAAAAAATGCAAGTGCAGTAAAGCGTGCTATACTTTAGCTGCCTTCCACAATACCCACAAACACTTGGATATGCGCCTAATAATAGCTCACATTTATTTAGGTCTCATTTAACTTTAAAGAGAGCGGCCATGTAAAGTTGCTTCTTACATGTTTTAAAAGATGAGCCTTATTTGAGGTCGATGGATGATAAGCGAATGTTTGGATTTCCTGCTTGACATACTGTTATTGCCACTAGGACCCGCCGTTAACGGTCTTTCCCCTCATGGACTGCGCAACTTTGCTGCTTCCTGTGGAGCTTTTTTTTTCTGCGACTAATAAAATCTTGGTCGACTAAGCCTCTTGTAGTTGACTAACGTTTAGTCCAGTGGTTTTCAAACCTGTCCTGGAGGACCCCCAACACTGCACATTTTCTTTGTCTCCCTAATCAAACACACCTGATTCAACTCATCAGCTCGTTAACCCATGTGATGAGCCGATGAGTTGAATCAGGTGTGTTTGATTAGGGAGACAAAGAAAACGTGCAGTGTTGGGGGTCCTCCAGGACAGGTTTGAAAACCACTGGTTTAGTCGACTATTAGGGGGTAGCCCTACTTAAAACTACATTCCATGACACAACAACAGTAGTATTTATAAAAAATTGTGTTTGCTCATCCACTGTGACACTTGCTGTGAGAGAAATGCTGCAAGCGGAGTGATGCATATATATTTATATTTATCACCGTGTACTAATCTGTTATTGTTGTTTTGCCTTTATTTCAGGATAAGAACATTTTTGTTATATGTTACGGTAAAGAAAAGAAAAAATGGCTTACACAATCCATCTGGGAGAAGAGGATTCAGGATTCACTTTCAAAAGACAACGAAAAACAGTTACTTAATGTCGATGGAAAAGAGAAGAAAAGAAAAACTAAATCTACCAAGGAAAACAAGACCACTGCTTCTGTTAAAAAACAATCAAAAAAGAATCGCAAAGTTCCCCAAAGCAAAGCTGTAACCAGGACTTTATCAGAATCTTCCTGTGTCTCTCTCTCTGAGGAGCAGGAAAAACAACACAAGACGCATGAGGTTTTAGCTTCATGTTCAGATGCTGAAGACTCAGATTCTTCCAATTGCAGACAACCTCTTAAGCAGATCATTCAGTGTGCTGAGAACTCGCATGGAAATAATTTAGTGGAAATTGAAGAGACAGAGAGACACTCTGTAGAGGCAGTCAATCAAATGGAGCAGGAGGATGACATGAGGTCAGGAACTGACAATCACCTTAATTCCAACAAAAGCAATTTCTTCTTTTCACCCCAAGGGGGAGACATTTCTGTACAGAATGAAATTCAACAGTCTGACAGTGACATTGGCTCAGTGGACTTATTCATGCCATTGAATAAACATAAGAACAATCAAATTCATAAAAACGCATCTATTAAAGCGAACATGGAGGAGAGTGATCAAGACAGTGATGTAACTCAAATAGAGGCTGAAGGACAGTTTGAGTCCATATTTGGACCAGGAACACCCAGATGGTGTGATGGTGAACATCATGCAAATGAGAACGATGAAAGTGACATAACTCAAATAGAGACGAAAGAATCTGTGTACGTGTTTGGAACAAGAACACCAACCAAGCGGTTTACAATTCAAGATGTCAACAGTACCAAACACACTGAATTCCAAAAGACAGGCCAGAGTCATGTTGTCCTACATACTGAACTGCTGTCAAGAAGGGAGGATAAAACAAGGCATAAAAATAAAAGGATAAAATCAATGTCATGTTCTCATAAGGAAACTGAAGTCACAGGAATAGAGACTGTGACTGTGCAAGCATCATCTAAACATTTACCACTAGCTGATGAACCATTAAGAGAAGTTTACTCAAGTTCTGGTGAACATGTTATCGTGGGTAAACAAAGAACGGTGGTGGAGATGGAAACAGATACTCCAGATAGTCCTTTGTTTAAAAATGTTGGAATGAGCTTTCTTAAACGAAAAAGAAAGGGTAAGAAGAGAATGGGTGCTGCTATTTTGATAGAATGTGATACAAATGTAGATGTGAGTCAGAAAGTGAGTTCTGTTGATTATGTCACTGAACTTAAAACAACATGCAGAGAAAACAGGGAATTATGTGATGTAGAGAATCGAGTTACAAACGAAGAGCAAACGGCAACATCAGTTTTACAATCAGAGGAGACGTCTGAGCTCTTGGACGAAATCATTTTATCTACAGTGGCAGATAACAATGTTTTCAAAAAGGCTATGAGGAAAAAGAGGAAAATGTACAAATTAAAAGAGCATGAGCATGTGCAGCCTGGTGTAGAAAATCAGTTTGTTGAGGCAGTCCAGTTCAGTGAGCCACAAACTACTGAGCTGACACTCAAAAGAACAAAAAAGAAGAGAAAAGACAAAGAGAAGACAAAGACTGCATATGTAGAGGGGAATAGTGCTACAGAGATCCCATCAAACGAAACTTTAGACTTCGATAGACCAGCGGAGTTGACAATAAATGAAGGGAATCAATCCAGTGCAGCTCCTGAGACTGGTCAACCTAAGCATACGGAGACATCAGAGGAAATTACAGGGTGTCCGTCACCTAATGTGACTAGATTAAAATCAGTGAAGAAGAAAAAGAAAAAAAGAGATGAGACTGAAGTCTCTCGATATGAATCTGTTGATCTGGATGTAAGTTCTATGTCTCAGTTTGATGCTGGTCTCAGAGTGTTTGAGCAACAGGAAGATCAGGTCAATGAAGAAAGGCAGAGCAATGACAGTGCAGCTGAACATTTGGAAGGTAATACAGCAAGTATATTAAAGGTTGCCAAACGCAAGAAGAAAAGTCAGAATTTAAGTTCTCCTCAAATTGATGACATTATTGGACTGGAAAAACAAGTATCAGGCATGCAGTCAGAGAGCACAGCAGAACCGAATAATTTAGGTTCAGATGACACTGACACTGTTATCACAAAGGACAAACAGAAAAGGGCAAAAAAGCAGAAACTAAAAGAGCGAAAGACAATAGAGCTTGCTTCAGATATCAAGGACATTGTACAGTTTCAATACAGTGAGTCACAATCTACTGATTTGCCATCCAGAAGAACAAAAAAGAGAGCAAACAAGGACCGAGAAAGAACAACAGTTAACTCATCAAATGAACTTTTGGAGCACATTAATGATAGATCTCCAGAAATGAGAGGAAATAATGTGATTCAATCCAATGAGGCCACTGAGACCGATCAGATTGAGCATTTACAGTCATCAGAGGGAAATACAAGATGTCCATCACTTAGTGTAACTAGATTAAGCTCAGAAAAAAAAAAAAAAAAAAAAAGGGATCGGAGTGCGGAACGTCTGTATGAATCTGTTGATTTGAATCTGGATGCGAGTTCTGTGTCTCAGTTTGATGTCACTGGACTAAGAGCACAAAAGATGATTGAAAGAAGGCAGAGCAATGCAGCTGAACATTTGGAATGTTATGCAGCACATGTTTTAAATGTTGCCAAACATAAAAAGAAAAGTCAGAATGCAAGTTCTCAATCTCAAGTTGATGACCTCATTGGACTGGAAAATGCTGTGTTAGACTCGCAGTCAGGAAATACTGCAGAACTTAAACGGAACAAGAAGAAAAAGTACAAATTAAAAGAGCAGGTGGATATAGAGACTAATGCAGTTACTCATAGTATGGACAATGTTCATTTGGTTGAGATGGATCAGTTCAATGAGTCACAAACTACTGAGCTGACACTCAAAAGAACAAAAAAGAAGAGAAAAGAGAAAAAGACTGCATACGAAGAGGAGAATAGTGCTACCGATACCCTGTCAATTGAATTTTTTGAAGCTACTGAGACCGATCACCCTGAGCATTTACAGACATCAGAGCAAATTGAACGATATCTGTCACCTAGTGTAACAAGATTTAAATCTGTGAAGAAAAATAAAAAGAAGAATGGCAGGGAAGAGTGTCAGTATGAATCTGTTGATTTTGCTCTGGATGTAAGTTTGGGGTCTCAGGTTGATAATGTAACTGATGGATCAACTACTCAACAGTCTATTGAAAAAAGGCCAAGTGATGTTGAACATTTGGAAAGTAATACAGAAGCTAAATTAAATGGCACTAAACGCAAAAAGAAGAGGACATTTTCTATTAATTTCAATTCTGACTTTAGCTCTTCCTCTGCACAAATGCAAGAAACTGTAACACCTGAGAGGAAGATGAAGAAAAAAAGATTATGATTGCATTACAAATGTAGGCGGTGAATTGACTTTGGAATGTTCTTATCGTACAGTGCAGTTTGAAAAGCCTCAGAGTCCGATGTCGAAACCACCTAAGATGATTCCAAAGAAAGTGAAAAGAAAAAAAGGAAATTAATGAAAGCATAATCGCATACTGGAACGATAGAGCAGAATTATGAACGGGATTGATTCAATCATACAACAAAGCAATGCAGTCTGACAGGCCATCATTATTACCTCATTGTGAGATTATGGGGTTTCTGCAGCTAATTCAAAGGAAAAAAAAGAAGAGGAAGGTGTACACTGAAAATAAGGAAATCTCCATGTTTCCTAACACTGACTCACCTACAGCGATAAATCGAGATGACACCCAAAAGACTAGGTATCATGACAGAGCAAGTTCTGTTCAAACTGAGTGTAATGGGAATATCTTTGTTCAGTCATGAAGAAAACATGATACATATGAAGAGAATAACCTAAAGGAGGGATCAAGAGAACCATCTATTTTGGCTGATGTGTTGTTGCACAAACAACATACGAAAAGACGAAAGCACAGTTTCAGTCATAATGATCGTGCATTAGCTACAAGAAAGAACACATGATAGAATGATAGAAAATAATTTCACAGTGGTTGATATGTTGTTGTTTTAGACCTCAGACCTTTAGCCCTTCAGAAGACAGACAAAAGTTAATAAAAAGTGTTTGTAAAAGATTTTCTTGGCAGGATGAATGGTCATAAAAGATTAATAGGAAAGCAGTAAGAGTTTACAGATAAGTACAAATGGAAATGTATAAACCTGTGATAAAGATTTTTTTTTATTTAATTTATTTTTAAAGAATTGTTTGTGATACTTAGCTTGATTTAATTTAAAGCAAGATGAAATGATACAAAAAAAGTATTTTGGCAGTTAATTGTATTACAAAACATATCTCCTGAAATAACATGCATACCTGTACATTGTTTTTTCTTTTGTTTTGTAGATATGCAGATCAATGATCTGTGGATCAATGGATTTATTTTAAATTAGTTAATATAAATTCATTCAATTATTATTCATTGTGCAGACATTATACACTTTCATTTAGACTGAGCACAGAATCAGAAACTTTATCATCTGAATCTGTATTTTTTTATAGAGAACCAATGTGTTTGCTACAAAGTATTAAGGTCAGAATTATACTGACCAGAGTAAGCATATAGTGTCCATAATGGAAATGTATAGAGAAATAAAATATGGGTTTCCCCCATGTGATAAACATGATGATGGTTTTCCTGTTGTTTAATTTTTCTGAGGGCTGAAATGGATATTCAACTATATGACTTCTGTGGATAAGAAAATATATTTTTAGAAACGTCTTTTTTTTCTGTTCATGCCATGTAAATCAATAAGCAGCAGAACTGTTTGGTTACCAACATTTCTTCCGAATAACTTTTATGTTCCACAGAAGTAAGTCATTAAGTCGTACAGGTTTGGGACCTCAAGAGTAAATCATGACAGAATTTTCATTTGGGTGAGCTATCACTTTAATCATTATATAAATGTCATAACAGCACCTCCAGTCCTCAAATTTAAATGTATTATTCGAGTGAGCCCATGGTTGGAGATTTTTAGGTGATTCGGCATGTCATGTCATTATGCCAGTAAGTGGTGATGTGACCTTATGAGTGTTTTAATGAATCATTTGCTAAAAAAACATTGGAGCGTGTTGCTTAAGAAGTGCAAATGTTGAAGTTCTGTTTATTTATTTATTTTTTACATATTTTGTTAGTTTATGATGTATAAAAATCACTCACAATTGTACTATTCCTTTGAATTTCAACACTACTGTGATTACTTGAAGCCAGTACAATAACACTCTGACTGGTGTTTTCTTTGTTTTTTTTATAACTTGTCTGAGTCTTGAATTTTGAAATGCTTGGCATTGACTTTATTCTAAGAACATTTAAAGTCCATTTACAACTATTTTATATACTCCCCTTTTCTGTTATCAAGAACTGTCTTTCATCAATCAGTCCTCATATTACTTATTGTGAATTCATCAGAGTTCTCGATCTGTTCATCTAGAATTAAAATTAGCTGCATTACACCAGTCCTTAAGAAGCCTGGATGTGATGTTTCTGACTTAATTATAAGGCTATTTCTAACCTTGCATTTCTGGCAATGGTCCTGGTACGTGCTGTGGCTGCTAAGTTGCACAATTACTTAGCATTAAACAGTATACTTTAACCCTTTCAATCAGGTTTCAGGGCATAGTACTGAGACAGCCTTGGTGAAGGTCATAAACGATCTCCTTACTGCAGTTGATACTGTTTATGCTGTATCTTGGTCTTGTTAGATGTCAGTCCTGCCTTAAAGGGGTCATCGGATACCCATTTTCCACAAGTTTGTATGATTCTTTAGGGTCTTCATGTAAAGTTCGTAACATACTTTGGTTAAAGTCCCTGTAAAGGCAGTTTAAAAAAAAAATTCTAAACACATTATAAATGTTAGAAATGTATTGCTAAAACATATTACAAAGACTGTGAACTGTGAAGTACTGAATTGTGAAGTTAGACCGTTAAACAGTTTTTCACCATTGATATTTTCCGGATTTTTTGGGCGGGGCTAAAACGGGGCTCGATGACGCACTGGAGCCCCTGAGCTCCTGGACACGCCCCTACTTGATGACGCACTGGAGCCACTGAGGCTGTCCGCTCCCCTAACAATATAATAGAGCACATTCACATCAGTTTTGCCGCTCAATCGTGAGTTACGGTCAGCACTATTAGTTACTACAGCAGCCTACAGATTGCTAGCTAGCTATGCCTTCATCACGGAAATGCGTAGGCCTACTACCTGGATGCGATCACCGGATCACATACAAAACAGATCGGTGTCCTTATTTAAATTTCCGAAAAACGATTACATCAAGAAGAAGTGGATTAATTTTGTGAAGAGCCAACCTTGATGGAGAGCTGAGGATCACTGCCAAAACCTGCCTCTGTAAGTGATCATTTTACACGGGATAGTTTTATAAACTTTCGTCGGAGACAACTAAGGCATTCACTGATAATCCGTTGTTACTGGTGAATGGGGCTGAACCGACTATCTTCCGCCTCAGCATTCATCCTCCCGTCGCGCCGACAACTGGTGCCATCATCGGCAGTGCGTGCCCACCGTGCGAGCATCTATTCCGGCTGTAGAGTTGAGTGTAGCGAATGCAGCTTTCCCGCGAGTGGGCGTGGTTTCAGCACAGCCAGCGGACACGCCCCCAGCGTTTGAGAGCAGAGACTACTGCTCATTTTTTCAAGATTTTGATAGCTTATTTTATGTACTTGCTGGCTTTTTTTATCATTCAAATTTGGCAGGGTGGCTAATAACACATTTTTCTGTGGTGTGACAAACTCAGAACACATACAAAATTTTGACTTTACAGGGACTTTAAAATTCCTCAATGGTTGTGTAAAACAGTACCCTTTTTACCTCCTCAAAAACAGCTCCGTTCACAGCGACCCGTTTCGTTGCAGGTATCTTTAAATGATAATGAGCAACTGCTCACCCCACCCCTCTCTTCCGTCAACACATTCTCATCCCAAGGCGTCATCTAACTGACACTTTTGACCATGCGTCAACATGCCGACGCACATGGTACCCCTTAAGCGTCAATATGAGACGCTCATCCTCGGGCGTCATCTAACTGACGCTTTTGACCATGCGTCTAAATCCGACGCACATGGCACCCTTTAGCGTCAGTTAGATGACGCTTCCGTTATGGGTAGGTTTAGGTCTGGGGTAGGGTTAGGGTTAGACCACTAGGAGGCGCGTCTCATATTGACGCTTAAGGGGTACCATGTGCGTCGGCATGTTGACGCATGGTCAAAAGCGTCAGTTAGATGACGCCTTGGGATGAGAACGGGCTGCTTCCGTGGGGCATGTCGACACAACACATAAAGTGCTGCCTTGGCCGACAGTATACAAATGGCTGAGGGCAGAAATATGCTAATACGGGACAGTCCGTCAGCGGTCGTGGTCGGAGCATGAGCAATATGACATCATATTGCTCAGAAACTCCAAATTGCTTGATTATTGAGAGTGTTTTGGCTTTATGGGGATAAAAAAAAAGTGAATGGATTTTTTTCATTGTATGGTGGTTGTGTCCACAAAATGCAAATTTTACATCCGATGACCCCTTTAACACCATATTCCATTCTGTCTTATTGGATAGACCCAGCCAGCTGTGCAGCCTTTCCAGGATGGTATTTGATTGATTTAGAATCTTACTTGACTAATAGTGCCCCGGTTCTGGGAAATCATAAACCTTATACTGTGTCAACTTGACAGATAGTTCCTCAGGGTTCAGTGTTGGGCCCAACTCTATTTAGCATATGTATGCTTCCACATAGGTAGATAATTAGGAAGTATGGCCTTGGGTATTACTGCTAGACTGCTGATATTCAAATTTACATCGCCTTCTATCATCTCAGGAATATTGCAAGACTTTGATCATTTATCTGTTGTGCTGATGCAAAGGCTCTAGGGGTGGAACGGTACATGTATTCGTATTGAACCGAAACGGTACGGGCGTCACGGTTCGGTGCACGAATTTGCACGCAGAATACACGGTACAAATAAAAAAAAACCTCTTAAATAGCGATGAATTTCGCTCTATTCGCTTTTGGTGTGACTGTGAACGCAGCAATGAACAGGCTGCGATCAAGATTGCAATGCAGGAGTGTGTGTGTGTGTCTGTGTGCGCGAGAGAGAGAGGCGCGATGAACAGTGTGTGTGTGTGCGAGAGAGAGAGAGGCGCGATCGAACAGTGTGTGTGTGTGTGTGTGTGTGTGCGCGCGCGTGCGAGAGAGAGAGGCGCGGTGTGTGTGTGTGTGTGTGTTCGCGCGCGCGAGAGAGAGAGGCGCGGGCGCGAATCGCGCGATGAACAGTGTGTGTGTGTGTGTGTGTGCGCGCGCGTGCGAGAGAGAGAGAGAGAGGCGCGGGCGCGAATCGCGCGATGAACAGTGTGTGTGTGTGTGTGTGTGTGTGTGTGTGTGTGTGTGTGTGTGAGTGTGTGTGAGAGAGGCACGGGCGATCGAACAGTGGAAACGTAAAAACATACTCCGTCATTTTTTTCATATAGGACATCATTAAAACTGCAAATTGTTTACTTATATTTGTGTACACTCGCAATAAAACACAACATTGTGCTTTTGTCACACTCTAAACTCTTGTCAAACTGTAACCTACACCTGTTAACAAAAGTTTTTATGGTAGTATTATTTTATACGGAAATCAATTATTTATAATTCAGATGAGAATAAAGTTAGTTAATTAAAATGAAGGAAAACAAATATCTTGATCTGAAATAGCAAATTAATTTTAAATTCATTCAGGTACAATTACCAAACATATCTCAAGGTCTTTTCGTCTTTTTAATAATTTAATTAATAAACTAATTATATAAAACTACTGTCAGTGCACTACAAATAAACTGGTTCTATGCCTTTATTAATAAAACTTATTTAAAAAAAATACAAGGCTTAAGACATTTATAAAAATGCCTTCTGCATTTTTGCTTTGCTTTTCACTCCCTTGTACCGAAATCGTACCGAACCGTGATGTCTGAACCGAGGTATGAACCGAACCGTGACTTCTGTGTACCGTTCCACCCCTAAAAGGCTCATAACATGGCCTCAAATCGTTAAAAAAAAAAAAAACTATGCTGCTATTGTGTTCACCCATACCTCTCCATGTGAACAGATTACACCAATGCTCTCACAGTTGCACTGGCTTCCCATTCATGCTTGAATTAACATTAAAAGCATTACATTGGGATGGCACCAGTGTATCTTGTGATTTCATTAGTCCATATACTCCGTTATGGTCTCTCCGTTCTGCTAACACTCTTTCACTTCATCAGCCTGAAGACGGTTTCATTCAAAGCCCCCAAGTTATGTAATGCTTTTTTTTTTCACTACCAGAAATGATCCAAATTTGGAATATTTTAAAAAGTTGCCAGTTATCCTCTGGGCAAAACAGGTCATTTTTATTTGTATTTTAATACACCTGATTCTCATTTTAGAGAGATATTACTAATAGCCTATATATTAAACCTCATTCACCTATTTTAGTTTGATTCGCTTTGCTTTAATTTTTAACTTTAATTTGATTTGCAGATAATGAGTTGGAGTATCCTAAATAGGTACTCTTATCTGACAGCATTTAGATATAGACTTCTTTTCTTTTAAATTGACCTACTATATTTACCTTGTAAATGTGCATAGTCCAACAGAGCTCGTTTTTATTTATTCTCCGCGTATAATCTCATGTTGTTGTGACCATGGCGAACATGCAGCCAATTTGCGAATATGTTGAAACCCAACCTATGCGCGTTTAACGTAGATGACACGGACGCACTTAAGCTTGGGGGCCTTACCCTTCAAATAACCATTATATAAACAGCAGTCACATTGCGCCGACGGCAGTTGTGTGGAACTTTGCGCTCTGTCTTTCGTGAACGGCGCACGTCCGTGCAGCTATCGCTATGAGTTCGCGTCCTAATATTTCATGTTTACAAGAAGCCAAAAGAGTGGCTATTTTTGGAGGCACACATGGAAATGAGATGTCCGGCATTATGCTGGTAAATATGTGGATACAAAATGCAGCCGAGATAGAAAGAAACAGACTGGTGACTAAGCCGTTCATAAGCAACCCCAGAGCAGTGGAGAAATGTACCAGGTACATCAACACGGATTTGAACAGAGCCTTTACGCCCGAGAACCTCAGGTAAATATCGTGCGGATGCGTTATTTTCTGTACAAGTCTGGCGCGTTTATGAATGGCAGTTTTATAAAACTGAGCAGTCTTGTTGTGTTGTAAGAACAATGGTCTTTAAACTGTAGCAAAACTTTTGGCTCGTGTGTGTTCGAGGTACATTGTTGCATTTATGTGTTGTTTATTGTTAGGCTACCATATTAGTCAGCTCGACGTCTTTGGCCGCTGTTGCACCTCTATTTTTTTTCGTCTCGCGCCGTTTTTAAGTAAAATCATTTTAGGAGCATTGTGTTAAGCTCAGTCTATCTATTTTTAAACACATCATGTGTAAACGTCTCCTTTACGTGACACAACATCACTGACTCGTGCGATAAAAGTATCAATGGAGCGAGCGAGCAGTCAGCTGGTACGAGCCGCTCATGTCATGACTGTTGAGAAACGTGAGTGAAGCGTGATTGGGGTCATGAAGAGTCTTTAATATTGCATCATTGACAACACGTAACAAATGCTGATTTCCATGACAATGGCACGACTTTTTGAGGACCTTTTTGGAGCTTGAAACATTTTAAATAAGTGTTTGTTGAAATTCAATTTAACTTAATAAATTCGACATTTTACAGTGTCAGTATTTAAGGGAATAAAGAAAAATAAATTAGAATGGTAAGATATTCTAGGTCTAATTGTAGGCTAGTTAAACATTTTGCAAATAATATTTTATTTAACTCTTGTGCATCAATTAAAAAAAAATATATATATATAAATATAGCTGCGAGCAGCGATGACGGGCCCAAGCCGGTGGCACCGCAACCCCGGTGCCTTTAGTTACCTAAAGGCACCGGGGTGGCGGTGCCGCCGGCTTTGGCCCTTTCATACATAAATATATATATTGTTTTTTTAAGGGACAAGACAGAATATTACTTGCCTGATCTGATTAGAAAAATAGTTTGTGTGTGTGTTTGTGAGGCGTGATTGAACAATGTAGACATAAAAACATGCTCCGTCCTTTTGTTCATACAGGACATTATTCAAATTGCAAAGTGTTTACTTATATTTGTGTACACTCGCAATAAAACACAACATTGTGCTTTTGTCAAACTATAAACTCTTGTCAAACTGTAAACTACAATGGTCACCCATCCAAAATCTCTTACACGCACACACACACACACACACACACACACACACACACACACACACACACACACACACACACACACACACACACACACACACACACATAGTTTAAAAGCAAAAAATATCAAACAATCCTGTTTAAAAACAGTCTGTGGGAGCCATCTTTTGGACATTCATCATATTGCATTGGTTTTCATTAGGGATGGCCCGATACCGATACTGGCATCGGGGATCGGGTCGATACTGTCCTAATATACTCGTACTCGTACTCATAAAAATTCGCCGATACCACGCACCGATACCACATACATTTTGCAAAACGAAACTGGCCGCCGCGAGTGCTTTGTCGAGGTGAACTGAGGCATAGGAAAGTATAATGTCGGCGGTTTGGGCTCATTTCAAGATAAGGGGTGATGACAACAGCAAGGCAGACTTGTGAGTTATGTTCAGCTAAGGTGTCGAGAGGAGGGAAAGAAAGTACATCGTTTAACACCAGCAATCTAATTAAACATCTGAAGACGCATCATCTGATGGCCGAGCGCGCGCGCGGGCGGTAATGCACTCACTCTGTGTGTGCGGGTTACGGGAGAATAAAACGATTCGCGGGACTCCCGCAAACTAGAAATATCTATGAATAAAACATAAAAACTAAAAGATTTTTATTCATCTCTTGCAGAAAAGCAACAACAAAATAGAAACGATTTACAGGACAGAGTTTCTATTCATAACATGGTTACAGCGTTGAGCGATGTAGCCAATCACAGACATATGTGTTGATTTCTTGAACGCAATGGCCAATCAGAAGCATTTAAGATAGACTCCCCTCACCGCTCAAAACGGACTTTTTTGTTCAGTGCTGAATTCTGTATGCTGGCAAATCCTCTAATTATAACAAACAAAGTGTGGATATTATGAAAGATTGATTGTGCAGTCAGCTTCATTGATAATAACAGAGATGTGTGAGATCGCGAGGAACTGTCAGCTTTTAGGATTTATTAAGGGAGCGCACTTTGCGCGCATTCAGTCATGCCAGACCATGCACGCAGTAGCCTGCTTGCTTTTATGTTAAATTAACAGTGGTTTGTGTGTTAATACATTTATTATTTTACTCATTTTTATTTATTTTTAGACTTGTTAAAACAAGCAGAGAAGAAAATAACCTTGTCTTCTAACCTGTGTTCTAAAATAGTCGTCTTCTTTTCTGGGAGCCTATTACTTTTGCGGTAGAAATATCGGTATCGGTCCTCGGTATCGGCAAGTACACAAATGTAAATACTCGTACTCGTATCGGTTTGAAAAAAAATGGTATCGGGCCATCCCTAGTTTTCATTTCTTGTCCTCGAACAGAGCCCTAATCTGTTTATTTTTTCAGTTATACATTCTACATTGATTAAAAAAGAAAAATCAAATGTGTTTTTATTTTATACAGAAATAATCTATCATTCAGATGAGAATAAAGTTAGTGTTAGTTCAAATTTTAAGGAAAACAAATATATGATCTGAAATATAGCACATTCATTTAAAATTCATTCAGGTTCAATTACCAAACATACAAATCTTAATGTAATTTAAAGCAAACAATACATTTAAAATATATGGGTTGTATGCCTATTTTTTTTATATAAATATATATTTTTATATATATCCAAAAAGACAAGGCCTAAACTTTAACAAGGGTTAAACAATCACTGTAACAGACACAATCACACACAGACATAAGTCAAATCACTTACATTTTAGATGCAATATTGACTTTTTTTCTGTTTCAGCAGCGAAAATAGTTAAACAAAGATCACAGCAGAACCATCGAGCATCTCACAGCAACGCGTTCTCATTACTGAATGATTCAGCATTTTGAACGAATCGGTTGACTCAAAGATTCAATGACCAATCCATAAACATCTGTCTCATTCATGAATGACTCAGCCGTTCGAACGAATTGTTTGAACGAATGAATCAATGACTCGCTCATTATGACGGTCGCCTGGCGACACCTAATGACGGTTTAGTGATATGTTTAAAAGTATCATTCTTTCCAACGATTGTTAATTAACTCATATTTGAAACATAAGCTATATATATGTATTTATATATATATATAATATATACACAAAAATTAAATAAAAACACATTTGAAACGTGTTTGCTTACTAAATTGTGAGCTGAACGAAAGTTGCAGCAAATATCAGCAACAGGAGTCAAATTTCATTAATCACGAGAGTGAAGAGCTGACTGAAAAGATGATGACGGAATAGGCTATTTTATGTAAAAGCGCCTATTTAAGCGAATCTGTCATTGTACTCTTTTGTTGTGTTTTCCGTGAAAAATAATAGACTATTGAACTCACAATTCAAGCAATCGGCCCCCGATATTGCACTAATTTTAAAGTGACACTAAAAAGTATGCAGCTGCACTGGCATTCATAACGGTGCGCGTCCATGGCGACGAGCGAGCGTTTAGTTAATTTCTACTTCCATAGGAATTCATTCCAGCGCTCTGCAAGCGCCACCATTATCAATGTCCGTGTGGACGTCCGTATTTAAAAGCTCTCGGTCCTCAGTCACATACCAAATATATGTATATATAAATATAATTTTGGACACAAGAGGGCAGTATGGCCCTATGTATGATTTTGTGGGTGCATTCTCTCGAGAGAAAATGCTCGAAAACATCCACATTCAAACTAAAATATCTGACTTCGTGTTGGTCCAAGCTAATGACTGTAAATTAGAAAGTTGTTCGGCTTGATCCGAACAATATACGTACCGATTTTTATGATTGCAGGTAAAACTATAAAACTACCCCCCCCCCCCCCCACTTTTGTCAAAAGGTGGCGCTACTGAGTCCCTGCACCACGCCCGTTTCTGAAACTTTGCACATGTCTACTGGCTAATAAATGTGATCTGTCTGTCGAGTTTCATGCAATTTCAAGCAATTTCAGGCATGCTAAGAGTCTCAAAAGCATAAAAAAGAATATTAAAATTTGGTGCGTTGCCATGGCAACAGTATCTAAGATATCTAGAATCCATTCACAGGTCTACATCTGGCGTGTGTTTACATTATAGTAGTGAAGTTTGAAGCAAATCGGGTAAAAATAAGAGGGTGATTTCAAAGCATTTTGAAAGTGACACTTCCTGCTGCCAGTTGGTGGCGCTATAACTTTGACTCACAATAGTCACATCCATGTGATCGGCCTCTTGCAGAGAACACACTGCTGAAGTTTCATCAAGATCAGTCAATGTATGCAGAAGTTATAACACACTTCCTGTTTCCATTATTCGCCATAAATTCGTTTCCTCGCCACGGCCACACCGTTCGAGATATCAAAAATCCGTTCGCAATTTGGGATCCTCAATGTCTTGACTTCATGCACACCGAGTTTGACGATGATTGAATGAATTCCCTAGGAGAAGTGTTTCAAATGCCAGAGCATGCGTTTCCAAACAACCCTAAATAGCCGACTTCCTGTTGGGTTGGCGTAAAAAGTAAATGCACGAAGGATATATGAACCGATGAGATCTATATGTGTACCGAGTTTCAAATTATTACATGCAAGCGTGTTTGATTTATAGACCCAGTTTTCGGAGCAGTTTTCGGACTGTTCAAGGGGGCGCTGTCGAGCCCCCCTGCCACGCCCGGGTCCCAGCTTCAGCCCGGCCCTGATGGCCGCGAATTCTGACCCCTGTGCAAAGTTTCAAGAGTTTTCGAGCACGTTAAGAGCCCCAAAAGTGCTCGAAAGGTTGACCGAAAAAGAATAATAATAATAAAATATAGCTGCGAGCAGCGATTACGGGCCCAAGCCGGTGGCACCGCAACCCCGGTGCCTTTAGTTACCTAAAGGCACCGGGGTGGCGGTACCACCGGCTTGGGCCCTTCAT